TGCAGCTTTGCTTCTGATCTACCAGAAGACAGCTACTTGCGATTTCCTCTCTCCTCTTCTTGCTCCTATGTTTGGTATGTCTCTCTTCCTCTGAATTGTTTTTCTCAAATTTGATATCGTGGAATTAACCATTTAATCCAATATTCTTTATTAATTAAAGTTAAATTCCTCTCGTTTTATCATTGATGTATTTAACTTCTTTGAAACAAAAGGATATAATCTCATTAACCAAAAAAAAAGCAAAAAAACAAGGATAATCTGTTTAAACACTTTAAATATTATTTAAATAGAACAAAACTTGACTAGATTAACTTGATTCTGTCGAGATTAGGGTTTAACTCCCGCCGGAATTTGAACTAGAGATGTAACTTTTCTTTTGTGACAGAACTAAAGTATCTTTATGAGTTGGGTTTTGAGTAAAAGTGATCTTCTTTAAAGGGTCCTTGTCAAATTTCGAATTGTGTATATATGGTGAGACTATTTAAAGTTGGTTGAAGCAATTATTGTTTGAAAAAAAAAAACACAGATAATATATGCAAGGAAGTGGAATGTGGGAAAGGGAAATGCAAAGCATCTTCAAACACAACTTTTATGTATGAATGTGAGTGTGAAGATGGTTGGAAGCAGTTTGATCATCACCTCAAGTTTCTCCCTTGCGTCACCCCCAACTGTAATATCTCTCTCTTTCTCTCTCTCTTGATCACTGGTTAGTTTGACTTGATCAATAATCATATAGAGAACATAACAATGTATTCATCTTCTTAGGTACCTTTGATTTAACATGCGGCGAAGCAGCATCTCCAGCCCAGCCCAAAACGCCTCCCAAAGACAACATTACTTCATTTTTTGACGGTAATAATCTCTACTCTCATTCTTTATTTCATTGTTTATCAAGAGGTAGGCCGTAAACCCCTCGGGCCGGGGATCAAATTAATTTTACTCCCTCCTCCGCATCGATACTTGAACATGAGACCTTGAGGCCTACTTCCTCTCTACAAATGTTTGGTCTCTAACCTCATAATTTGCTTCCTCATGTGTGTGTATGCAAGACTTTAGTGTTTTATTTTTTGTTGGTATAGCTTGTCATTGGGTGGACTGTGGAGGAGGGTCTTGCAACAAGACAACATCGTTTTTATACAGCTGCGATTGCCGTGAAGGTTACCGCAATCTCATGAACATCACCACATTTCCTTGTTTCAAAGAATGTAAGAAGAACAATTTATAGTATTCTTATTGATTGATTGTTGATTAAAGAAAAAATAAAGACTTAATTGGGTTTTTGTGTTTGGAAAGGTGCACTTGGAATGGACTGCTTGAATCTTGATATTCCTTTGTCAAACGCATCATCATCTTCTCCACCTGCTCTGCCTGATAGCAGCAAGAATCAAGGTTTGACTCCTTGAAATGTTTGCCTTCATCTTTTTGATTAAGATCTTAAGTATTAAAGAAGTTGAGGTTTGTTTTGCAGCAGCAGGATTGAATCTAAGAGGAGCATCGTTGTGGTGGATAACATTTATGATATGTGTCTCTTTAGCACCATGGAGGCTGCTCTACATTTGATCTCTTTTACTTTTGGTTTCAAATTTTGTGTACAAATCCGTTACTTTAGATGTTGCTGTTGGGTATTGTATACTATTATTAAATTTGATATTTATAAGATTAATGTTTGAGAAATTTTAAAGTTCAATATTTAAAACTATTTTATTAATTATTGGTGTTACTCAAAGCTACATACAACAAACTTCAGAAAATAAACTTCGAAAGGTTCGACTTTGGAGCACCTACATACAACAAACATAAGACAACTACCACACCTTCAACCAGTAAAAAGGTTCGACTTTGGAGCTCTTTAAGGAATCTCAATCTCCGAAAAACATGGTCTCTCATCAATGTCAGCCTCTTTTGGTCACTATCCCTTGCTTTGAGCTTCACCACTTTTAAAACTCTAACATACCAAAATTAACGACGGAAAAAACAAACAAAAATTGTTAAAACACCAAAGATATCTTTGTCTATGTTAGTCAACTAGTGAATTTTGTAATTATATTTTGTTATATTGTCACTATCATCCAACCATCACCAAAATAAGTATTCTATTGCTACTGAAAACCACCAAACGAAGACTTTCTTTTTTATAAAAGCATCTTTGAGAGATTAACGAAGACTTTTGAGAGAGAACGAGACTTGAAAGGAGAATAGCTTTGAGATTTCAGATCCAACTTTTTTTTTTTTTTTTTCTTGGCAATCTTGAAGTATACGAACATGAACATTCAAGATGGAACGTATTTCCCCCATATCCACAACCATATTATGATGCCTTCGAATAATCTGAGGAAAGGTGATTGTTGTGGACACTTGGAAGCTATCAGTGATGGCTACTATTGCAAAAGCTGTGATTTCTTCATCCACAAGAAATGTGGCGACTCCCCTCGATCTATCAAACATCCATGTCACTCCATTCACCCTCTTATACTTCGAAGTAAACCACATAATTGTATATGTGATTTATGTGAAAGGAGTATTGAGAATCTATGTTACAATTGTGAGATCTGTGACTTCGACGTGGATCTATACTGTATGAGGTTCCCACCACCAAATGTTATTGAATTCTCCGAGATGCATGGCCACAAGCTCACCCTTCTCAAGGAGCGGATCAAGTTTGACTGTGCTGCTAAATGTGGGAAGATTGGTGATAGTTTTGCTTACAAATGTCATGAATGTGATTTAGCCTTCCATGTGGCTTGCGTATGGGACTCATCGGATTTAAAACTCCCCTTAGAGGTAACCCACTCTCACCACTCCTTGCACCCTCTTAAGCTCCTCATGGGTCCATCACCGGACTATTCTGATGAAAAATGCCGTCTTTGCGATATTAAGATTGATGATGAATGTTTTTATCATTGTTCTTTGTGTAACTTCACCTTGGATATACGTTGTGTTTTTCACCCACTACCACAATCTGTTCTGGAGGTGAAAGCGCATGATCACGAACTCACCCTTCTCCCGAGACTCGATTCTTTTACATGTAATGCTTGCGGGCTCAAAGGAGATCGAAGCCCTTACATATGTGTTCAATGCAATTTCATGATCCACCAACATTGTCTTGCCCTTCCACACCTCATAAACATCAATAGGCATGATCATCGTGTTTCTCGCACTTCTGTTGTTGGTGTTGTGAATTCTATATGTGGAATTTGTCGCCAGAAGGTGGATTGGATATGGGGAGGTTATTCTTGTCAACGGTGCCCTCGCTATTTTGTTCATTCGAAATGTGCTACCAGAAGAGATGTGTGGAACGGGAAAGAACTCGAAGGAGTACCTGAAGAGATAGAAGATATAGAGCCATATGTGGTAATAGATGATAACACAATACAACATTTCAGTCACGAAGAGCATTACCTAAGACTCCACGTTGATGGGCTTCTCTGCGAGGAAAACAAGCGGTGCAGCGCTTGCACTCGTCCCATTTGTCTCCAATCCTTCTATTATGGTTGTATTGATTGTTGTTTCCATCTGCACAAGGACTGCGCTGAACTTCCTAGAAGAAAACGGCATGTTCTACACAATGAACGACTTACCTTAATAACAAGCACAGCCAATTTCTTTGGGTGTCGAGCTTGTAATACACCATCCAATGGTTTCAAATACCAGGATGGGGAGAAGACGTTAGATGCTCTGTGCGGTTCAATTTCTGAGCCATTTTTCCATCCAAGTCATCCCGATCATCCCTTATTTCACACTGAACCAAAGGAAAGGATACAATGCAATGCTTGCAACAAGTTGACATATCCTTCACTCTCGTGCATTGAAGAGGGTTGTGGATTTTCCCTGGGCTTCGACTGCGCCACTTTACCACAAGTGGTAAAGCGTAGAGGTTACAATCATCTTCTCTCACTATGCTATGGAGAACAGGCAAGTGGGAAATGCTGGTGTGACATTTGTGAGACGGAACTCAATCCAAATATGTGGTTCTACACGTGTAAAGATCACCAAGCTAGTTTGCATATAAACTGCGTGCTCGGAGACTTGTCAAGGCTCATGCCAACAAGCACAATAAAGGTTTCTCGCATAGCAAATGAGGTGGTCGTCAATAATAGTATGTCTCGCCCATTTTGCAGGAATTGTAAGTCGCGTTGCATGTACCCTATCATGTTGAAGATGCCTGGTGCCCCAGATGAAGATGCACATCATTGCTCTTTTCATTGCATGGTTGCTACCGTACTTATAATTTTACGTGCCTTTGGTCTGGATCAAGATGTCTCTCGACTGGAGTAAAAATCAATCGTTCCTTTTTATTTCTTTCACAACTTCATTTCCATTACGTGTTGATTTCCTTCCATGTAATTTATATTAAGTGTTTGTGTTTTGAATTCACTAATCAAAATCATTGCGATTGGAAAAATTTTAAAAAATTTGTTAGTATTGATCGAGTAACAATTCAATCGCAATGAATTCCATTAATGATGCTTTTACATATTTCAAAAAGTTTTTTAAAAAATGTTTCAAAAACAAACACCACACCTTCGACCTATTGAAAGATTTGACTTAGGAGCTTTCAAATAAATGTCAATTCTCCGAAAAATCCATGAATTGACACAAGAAAAAACAATGGTCAACCAATATGGTGTCCAAATAACAGTTTCACCACTTTTAAACTGCACTAGAAAGAGTGCAATGGTTGTAGCATCCAATGACATGTAACCTATCAATAAAAGCTGAGTGCAAGAATTTAACAGAGGAAAACATGTTAACTGGTATACTAGAGAAGCTGACGCCACCAACTTCCCTCTGCCCGACGAGATAACATTATCAATATACAATTTCAGAGATACCACTTGTAACCCTGCCCTCAAAAAAATATTATAATGTCATAGTTACACAAGCTTATGGATGAAAAATGTAACAACTTTGGCAGAAAGAGATACATGTATGCACCAAAGTTGGTTGTCATTAGAATAAAGTAAATCACCAGTATAAGATAAAAGAAAACCAATTGTTTATAATGTGCGAGGCATTTCCAGGATCAAAAAGCAGTGGAAAAAAGCAAGATGATCAGGATATACCACAACCAACTAATATAGCGTCACAAGCCATTATACCTGAAAGAATTGTGTTTATCCCTCAGAATTGGTAATGGACGCAAATACAAAAACCAAAAACACTTAAAGATATTTCTTCAAAAGGGGAAAATTTGTTTCAATATGCTCAGTGGAAGGAGAAGTCGTTTAATTAGGAGAGCTCACGGTATAACCACTGCTCTTCTCACACTCTTCGTGCTTTTCTCTCATCATTGCATCATCTATCAAACCATAACAAAAATCCAAACTTTGTAACAATAAAGCTTCAGTGTGTGTAACAAATTCAGATCATTGATTCAAGAACCTCACTGAAATCCGCTAAGATAATTTTCTTTATCATCATAAGCTTATAACTCAAACAAGGACAAAAACATCAATCCACCCAAAAAATACAAATCCAATAAAACAAAAACCAAAACATTGGTAAAAGAACAAAGAAGCTTCAGTTTGTGTAACAAATTCAGATCATTGATTGAAAAAACCTCACTGAAATCCGCTAAGATAATTGTTTTTATCATCATCAGCTTATAACCAAACAAGGCCAAAAACATCAATCAAAAGATAGGATTTTGTGTGAAAGGGTGATTAATACTCAGACAGCCAAGGGTTAATCTTCAACTTCTGGGAGAAGAATCCCAGATCTGAAACTCTAGTCCACTAAAACACTTGTTTCATCACCATATTAAACCCTTTCCACATACCATAAAACTAAATCATCACAAATCTCTTTCACAAAACCCTAAATACCACCAACTCATCATATAAAGACACGAAACTAGTCACATACCTAACCCTAAAATCACCAATTATAACATACAGACATGAAAAAAGAGCAAGATCCTACGAATTTTGCAGGAAACGAAACCATATAAATACTTACACAAACTCTAAGAAACGCATCTGAGAAATTAGGTTTCTTCCGGCGGCGACAATTTAATTTTAGGTTTTTCTTAGCCCAATTAATTACATGGGCCATATTATTCAGCCCAACAAATAACTTCATTATCAAGTAGAATATCTTTTTCATTACTCTAAACCCCAAAAATGAAAGTGACACAACCTGCAAGATATGTTACACTAACTTTTACAATTTACAGTGCCATGCAAATTTACCATATACAATGTTATACATATATGTCTAACCTTTCTCGTCTCAACAAATCACTATTTTGGAAAACATCACAAAAATCAGGAAAATGAGTGTTCATATACATACTATGATCACTAGGTTCAAGTGTTCAACATTAATGCAAATTTCTCATATTTGGAATAATACTGTCACATCCTTTTAAGTTGAACTTGTTTCTTAGTATGTTATATTTATTTTGAACATTACATAACACCCAAGTCATTATTCATATTACTTACTAGCTATTTTATTTATTTGATCACGCCTAATTTCTCAGTTCCGTCAAGGATTTACAAGAAACCCAGCAATATTAGTTGTTTATTTGCGTAAAATTCAGTATAAATATTTAGGTGTAAGAGTGATCAATGTAGAAATTTTTTTTATCACAAAATATCAAAATCAAATTTGACGTATGGTTATCCAACGAACATACTAATGGATCCACAACAAGAAGAAGGGGTAGTTGTAAAGTATCTTCTTGTTTTTTTTTTATAAGTATGTTCTTGTTTCTTCTCTTTGTTTTTAATCAAATATTCCAATCATTTTTATCATTGAATTTCAACTTTGATGCTCGAATCATAATATGTCTATTTAAACTTAAAGATTAAAGTTTGTTAAACCGCTAGTTCAATCTTTTACATGCGTTTAGCGAGCGGTTCATAGTGTCTTGGTTCACAGTGTCTTGGATTTTCTAAGTTTAAAATTACTAAAGTATCGAAATGCCCTATTTAGTCACATTGGTTTAGACCTCCAAATATTTAGTACGGACCTGCATATGTAACAAGATACTGATGCCATTTTAAAACGACCTGCATATGTAACAAGATACTGATGTCAAAAGAATATGCAGATGGATATTTAATTTTCTTTTATTTTCCGTTGGCCCTATTGTACAATGCGTTTGTGTTGGTGAAGACCAAAGAGGGAATCTCTTGGCCTTTTCCTTTCTTTTCTACAGTGGCGTTGAACGTCATTATTGCCGTATCATGAATTTCACACTATTATTTTTAAGTTAAGTTAAATGTAAATGAATAAAAAAAATCAGGTTTATATTATTTTTGTAAAAAAAAAAGTAAAAATAATAAATATGCTATGTTAATTACTGAAAAATATGTAATTCTATTATTTCTTATAGAACAAAAGACATTTTTTTTACATGATCATTCATAAATGGACCATTGGAAGTAAATATATAGTCATATAGATGTACCACAAAAAGATGCCCGTGGTTATCTATATATACATTTTTGGAGTACACTTAGCAAATAAATCCTAGAGTTGCTAAGTATTTACAAAGAATGCCATTGGCATTAATTATTTAATTTTGAAAATTTAAATCAAAGATATTAATTACCAAAAAAATCTTAACATAATATCTTAACCATAACTAATCCTTTCCATAATATCTTAAAGATATTAATTAATTTTGACAAAATCAATTTTTTTAAGTAATTCATTTTTTAAATATATTTATTTTAATGTACATTAATTAAATTATGGTTACTATTCGTTATTTTACAAACTCAGTTTGCTATATTCCTTATTATAAACCAAACTCATTTTGGCTATAAATAATTTTTTTAGTTATAAATTAGATGAACTCCAAAAAAACATTATTACCAAATATATAAATATTATTTATGTCTACGGAATAATATGTTATTTTAGATTATTATTATTTCATAAGGTTTCAAATATTATGAATATTTAAACTTTATAAGAATTTTAAATATTATTAATTTTAAACTTATAAGGAATTTAAATATTATAAATATTTAAATATTTAAATTTTATAAAACTTTTAAAGTATCTATAATATTTCAATTCTATAAAAAAGTTTATATATTAATAACATTTGAACTCTATAAAAATTATAAATATATATACTATAGAGACAATTTAAAAGCAAACTTTTAAATTTACTCGAATTATATGTCTTCTAAATAAAATTATTATTAAAAAGAAAAATAACGTGATGTTTAATTTCACGGGAAGGGATTATATGGTGTGACGGGTTTGTGTCGATATTAATATGGAACGATATACTACGAGTGAAATCTTAGAATTAACAACCAAAATACAATTATGAAGTTTGGGTCGATATTAAAACTTTTATGAAGTTTCAAATATTATGAATATTTAAACTTTATAAGAATTTATAAGAAGTTTAAACATTGTAAAAATTTTAAGATGATAAAAAGTTAAAGTATTTATAATATTTAAATTTTATAAAAAGTTTATAATATTAATGATATTTGAACTCTATAACAATTAAAAATATATATATATATATATATATATATATATATATATATATATATATATATATATATATTATGGGAGTCATTTAAAGCAAACTTTTAAATTGACTCAAATTATATATGTCTTTTAAATAAAAATATTATAAAAAACAATAACAAAATAATGTTTAATTTCACGGGACAGGGTTATATGGTAGGACGGGTTTGAATCAATATTAATACGAGGCGGTACTACGAGTGAAATCGTAGAATTAACTATCAAAATACAATAAATGCTAAACAAAACAAACAATATTAACAAAATAAATTCAACTTAAAATTTCAATTTTTAGTTATCAAAAATCGACCCGTGGGTTTAATGCGGGGTAATATATATAATAAGTACATTTAAATCGAACAAAACAATAGATAATTTTCAAAAAATTTATAGCCCCGCGGTGTACCGCGGGTTAAAATCTAGTTGGGTTTACATATGTGGAGTCTTTTGGTGAAACTTCGACGCTTAAATCATAAAGAAAGAGATTTGATTGTAAGGGAGAGACAATAGAGCAGTTGATATGTGGTTGTTTATGTGATGTGTATGGTTAAGTCTCTTTCTGTCTTATGAAGTGTGGACTGCTTTGTAGAGTTTAATATTTACCGGGTTTGGTAAAATGGTCATCAAATTCTGAAGTAGATAGATTTATCAGTTTATCGATATTCCGTATGAATTGAATTCTGAAGTAGATAGATTTATCAGTTTATCGATAAACTGTGAATTCAATTCATTTTGATTAATGTTTTATATACTAGATTTGTAGACTACTATATGCCCAAAAAATCATTAAAAACAAATAAGAAGAATTGGAAAGCTAATCATATTTGTGTTATAATAAATCATCATGATACATTCAAAAATGGATAAATGTTCTCCATAAACACATAAGGGAATAGTCAAAACGATTAAAATCGGGCTTGGAATAGTGTCAAACTTTAATGATGAAGATAGAGATTATTGTGGAGTCCCAACACATCCACCCATCCGCATAACCACAAATAAAATTAATTTCTCTATCATTCTTTTATATATATATGCCCAATGGGTCTCTTGTATTTAATGTCACATCTATTAAATTCATATCAAACGTTCTATATATGTGTCACGGAGATATCATTGCGAAGTGTGTATATTATATATATATATATATATATATATATATATACATATTAATGTAGATCACTAAGTGAGTAGAAAAAATATAATTAAACCACAACACTTAACTTTTTTCTTTCTGTTATAAATATGTTTCTTTTGAAATTCTGATTTAGATAAGCTGATTATGATGAGTTAAAAAAAAAGGATAAGCTGATTATGTGGAATATTTTTTGATAATGTGAAAATACTTGATAAAGGAAGGGAAAACATTAGTGAAATTGGTAGTGGTCATTAAGAGGGACCAAGAGTAATCATGAGCTTCAGCTACATTTCCCATGGATTCCTCGGAACCACTTTTTCTAATCTCTCCAAAGATTTAATTAATAAGGTTTAGGAGAGAGATAGAGGGTCATTAGTGTTAAACTAATCAAAACAAAATCTAAAAATATCTCAATTAAAAAATATGCAATGAATGGTTATATGATGATAAACCTTAATATAGAATCATATATCTGAAATAAAGAAAAAA